AAGGGAGTTGGCACCTCTAAAATCCAAGTTGTTCAAGAGTCAGCTGTATTTAATTTCCTATGGAAACTTTTTAATAAAGAAAAATATCCTAACCAGTCCACTCTGCTTATCTATAGTATTTCAAATGCAATCATTAAACTTTCATTCCAGATTCCCAGTCCTAAATCTTGTGATTTAATTTGGAATCAGCATCTAAAATTGTGATTATTAGTGGGTGAATTGATAAAACCAAGATTTTGGCCCTAAACTCTAACCTTATCCCCACTCCTCCCAGCTAAGCACACTAATAAAATGTTTCCTTCTCCATACTACTTCTGCATCTTATCCCTACTTCCACTGTTACATGTTATCAATTTATAAGTGTATGTGCCTAATAAGGACATAATAGCATTCAATAAATGTTTATTTCAGGAACAAATATTTCTCATTCAATAAAATGATTTATCTCAATAAACCAAAGACTCATATATTACCCAGATAATAAGAGGAAGCTCCAATCAAGAATGCAAAGCTAACTCCAATGAGCAAGAAATAAACCAGTCAGAGAAAGGTAAGTATCACATGATCTCATGCATATTCAGAATCTAATGAACCAAATAAACCAGTGATCAAAAATAGATCCAGAATCACAGAAGCATGAACAGACTGTTGAACCTAAGATGGAAGGCAGGGGAGAGTGGATGGGAAGAGATCAACCAATGAACTTATGTGCATATATCCATAACCAACCGATACAGACAATAGGGTGGTGAGAGCCTAGGGAGAGGGGAGGAGGACGGGAGTGGGCTGGAAGAAGTTAATGAGGGGAAAAAGAGAACCTATGTAAATACTTGAACAATAAAGATTTTTTTAAAGTGATAAAAAATATTAAATAAAATATTAATAAATATTAAAAAAAGAACAAACTTTAAACAGCTATTATCCATTCAACAACACACTGGCAATCCTTCTGCTGAGTCCTAGAATTACACAAATAGAAGAAAAACCACAGGCCAGACCAACAGTCAACAAACTATAGTCCATGAGCCAAATTGGACCTATTGTCTATTCTGGTAAATAAAGTTTTATTGGAATGCAACCACATCCATTCATTTATACATACTGTCTACTGCTGTTTTCACACTACTCGGACAAAATTGAGCATTGTAACATAAAACCATTTGGCCCATAAACCCTAAAAGATTTATTATCTGGCAATTATGCACAAACAATTTGCTAACCCCTGGCCCAGAGCAAATTCACAGAGTTCATGGATCTGAGAGCCAACAGTTTAAATGTTCTTGGGGGAGGAAAGGTATTTACCAAGGCGAGCTTCCTAGATGAAATGATTAGCTGGGACTTAAGCGAAGACTGGGAAGCAGACTGACAGAACTAAGAGTATTCCAAGGAAGAGTTGTTCACATGGGAAAAGGACTGGAGGCAACAGGCATTAGGGCATGTCTCAGGAATTGCAGGAGTGTGGTGTTACTAGAGTGCAGTCTGTATAAAGTGGTGAAAGTCAAAGTTGGCAAGAAGGGCATTATAAACATCATATGCCAAGAGGAATTTGTATATTTTATCCATGGACACAGGCTTCAAAATAGGCACAAGATCACTTGCAAAGGTTCTAAAATAAATCGGCCAGTGGAGAGCAGAAATCAGAACATGTTTCTTGCTTCTATTCCCCTTTCTGCTTAGTTATCATGGGAACTTCTATTGTCTTCAGGTAGACACTTTTGTCCCTGAACCAAATGCTAAGGGGATAGGAAAAGGGGGGGGGGGGGGGGGGGGGGGGGGAATCATCTCAGGAAGAGGAGGCATTTCTGAGAGCAAATTCAGGTAGACCTCATGGAAAATTTGAACGTGACATGGAAAGATTATGTTCCCAGTGATTTTTTCCTAAATCCAAAAAATGCTTCACACTCTGACAGCTGTGATTCGTGATTTCAAATTATTTACAGAAGTTGTACCAGAACAGTTCTTGTCGGTCATGGTGCATGTTTTTACAGTACTACACCTGGGGGGTCACGAAAGAAAGGGAAGAAAGCAGGCTCAGCCTGGCCTGCGGGAGGAAAGGAAGGCTCAGAGATTCCCTATCATTGCCTCTTCCATGCCTGACTACTTGGAGACTGATGGGGATTAACTCATAAGCTTCAATACCTCAGATCATTCATAACTTCTGTTAAATTCTTTTTTCCAGACTGTAATACAAATGTGCTGGGCAATAAAAGCAGTTTTGTTTTGGTTTGAAGAACACGACATAAATAAAGAAGTAGAGGGCTGGGAGACAAATTCTGCACAGGTGGAATCCCTCCCAGCCGATCAGGGTGTCTCATCCAGTCCCAATCGGGCTGTCTAGGAGAGCACACTGACCACCAGGGGCAGTTCCTGTGTTAAGCGTCTGCCCCCTTGTGGTCAGTGCGCATCATAGCTACTGGCCAGCCATCCAGTTGTAAAGATTGCTTAGGCTTTTATATAGAGAGAAAGAACTAGAGAAATAGGAGAGGCAGTAATTTTTTTTTAAATCACATGAAAACATTGCCTATTCTAAAATTACCTATTAAAAAGTGTAGATTTTCACATCAATAAAGAGAAACCCACCAAGCTGGGGGGAAAAATTGTCATAAAATATTGGATTTTGTCAAAAAATGTGGATTTTGTCATAAAGGAAATAATAAAAGAATTCATGTGCGAAGTCAGAAGATCAGACAAGCAATTTAGATTATGCTGCAGATACAATGTAGAGGATGGCGAGAAGCAGCAGAAAATGGTTAGGAAAGATATTAACTGACCAATGACTATTTATGCCGAATATCCTAACAATGTACTGCGGAGTTTACAACAAAACAAAATATGTAACAAAAATAGCTCAAAGGTGGTAAAGGAAGTAAAAAAATATTGTTAGATTCATATATATATTTTTTAAATAGGATAATATTAATTAGAGGCAGACTATGATAACTTAAAGGTGAATACTATAATCTCTACAGTAACCAATGGAATACTAAGGGATCCCTTATACTTCGCAACAGTATGAATGGACCTGGAGATTATAATGGTAAGTGAAATAAGCCAGACAGAGAAAGACTATGATCTCACTTAGAGGTGGAATCTAATGAAAAAATAAACTGATGAAAATAGGTCCAGAAGCATAGATGCATGAGAACAGACTGACATATCTCAGAGGGGAAAAGGGTGAGAAGGGGATGGTAAGAAATTAACCAAAACAGTTATATGCATATACTAGTATGCATTACCCAAGGATACAGACAATAGTGTGTAAAGCTTGGGGAAGGGTAGAGTGGAGCAAGAGGGGAGAAAATGGGGAACATCTGTAATACTGTCAACAATTAAAATAAAATAAATAATAGTAATACAAACAGGTTTATATAAAAGAGAAAGAGAAAACTAAATGGAATTTTAAAAAAACATAGATTAATCCATACAAAAGTGGAAACAGAGACTAAAAGAACAAAGAATAGATTAAATAAACTGAAAAGATGGCAAGATAAACTCAACCATTATCAGTAATTACATTAAATAGAAATGTACTAAGCCCTCCAATTAAAGGACAGATATTCATACTGAATAATAAAAAAAGGCACTACTAAATGTTCTTTACAAGGCATACACTTTAAAAATAATAACACTGACAAAGTAAAATTAAAAGGATAAAAAGAGCCAGGACCGGTTTGGCTCAATGGATAGAGCGTCGGCTTGGGGACTGAAGGGTCCCGGGTTCGATTCCGGTCAAGGGCATGTACCCTGGTTGCGGGCATATCCCCGGTGGGGGGTGTGCAAGAGGCAGCTGATCGGTGACTCTCTCTCATTGATGTTTCTGACTCTTTATCTCTCTCCCTTCCTCTCTGTACAAAATCAATAAAAAATATCTTTAAAAAAAAAAAAAAAAGGATAAAAAGATCCTATCTAATAAAAGAGTAATATGCAAATTGACCATCACTCCAACACACAAGATGACCACCCCCATGTGGTCAAAGATGGCCACCACAAGATGGCTGGCAGGGGAGGGCAGGTGTGGGTGATCAGGCCAGCAGGGGAGGGCAGTTGGGAGGCACCAAACCTTCAGGGGAGGACAGTTGGGGGGACCAGGCCTGCAAGGAAGGGCAGTTGGGGGCAATCAGGGCTGTTAGAAAAGGCAGGTGGGGTGACAGGCCTGCAGGTGGGGGCAGTTGAGGGTGACCGGGCCAGTAGGGGAGGGCAACTGGGAGCAAGAGGCCAGCAGGGGAGGGCAGATAGGGGTGACCAGGCCAGCAGAGGAGGGCAGTCAGAGGCAATTGGGCCTGCAGAGAAGGGTAGTTAGGAGTGATCAGGCCAGCAGAGAAGGACAGTTAAGGGGCAATAGAGCAGGCCGGGGAGCAGTTAGGCACCGATCAGGCTGGCAGAAGAGTGATTAGGGGGTGATCAGGTTGGCAGGCAGAAGCAGTTAGGGGCAATCAGGCAGGCAGACAAGCAGGCTAGCAGTTGAGAGACAGCAGTCCTGGATTATGAGAGGAGTCTCAGATTGGAGAGGGTGCAGGCTGGGCACAAATTTTGTGCACCAGGCCTCTAGTAAATAATATTTATTAAGAAAGCTAGCATGGCTATATTATTTCATAATTCTATGGAAAGACCAATCCATAGCAAGCAAAACAATCCTAAATGTTTGCACCTAATTAAAACGGTTAAAAATAGTGTTAGCTAAAAGGAAAAATAGATCCCCTATCATAGTTGGAGATAACACAGCTCACATGAAGAAAAGAGAAATGAACAGTTACATCGACTTTTATAAACTCATTAGACAGTTGCCCACTGGTAGGAGTGGAGGGGAGTAAATATGTGTAGGAATAGGAACAAAAGAAAAAAAAACACCCATAAAACAAAAATAAGTCTTACAGACTGATGATAGGATTCTCTATGTGAAAGATATGTGTACATCAATTCCTTGGATATAAGATTCAAAGTGAAAATTAATTAAGGATCAAATTTATTAGAAAATCCTACTTATATATTTTTTTCCTTACCAGCATCACTGTTAAATTCATAATTCTTCCAAGGTTATCAATGTAGTAGACACTGTCTTGATACCATGAATCACAGTGGAGGTAATTATACATTCCAAAAGCATGCATGTGTTCCAGTGTGTATTGATCATCTCGAAGTTTTACTTCTGCCACAGCTGAAATATAAACAAAATAAACATACACATAAAAAATTTTGCCTCAGATTGTTCCTTTCTGTACAATACCTACATGGCAAGAGGCAATTCACTATGCTCTTCATTCAAAAACAATTCTGGGCACCTACCAGAAACTATATGCAGAGGATAAATAGTGTGTAGAACTGACATGGTCCCTGCTCTTACAGAACTTAGTACATGGTGGCCACTTTTTCCTTGTTAATATGAATAAAAAACAGATTCTAAAATTGAAGGATTTCTTATCTCCTGGGCAAATATTAAGTCTACTTCATAAAGTGTTTTTATACTTTATTTTTTAAAATATATTTTATTGATTTTTTACAGAGAGGAAGGTAGAAGGATAGAGAGTTAGAAACATCGATGAGAGAGAGACATCAATTAGCCGCCTCTTGCACACCCCCAACTGGGGATGTGCCCACAACCAAGGTACATGCCCTTGACCAGAATCGAACCCAGGACCTTTCAGTCTGCAGGCCGACGCTCTATCTACTGAGCCAAACCGGTTTCAGCTGTTTTTATATTTTTAAAAAATGCTTTTACCTATATTCCTCTCACTGATTTTTACCACACATTAAGAAAGTAGTTTTTATTATTTCACTGAAGGGCCGGTGCATGATTTCATGCATCAATAGGGTCCCTCGGCCTAGCTTGGCGGATTGGGCCGAAATCAGCTCTCCAACATCCCCAAGGAGTCCCGGATTGCAAGAGGGCACAGGCCAGGCTGAGCAACCCCACCAGTGCACGACAGGGGCCCGGAAGGGATGTGGGCGGTTGGCCAGCAGGGTAGGGACCACAGGAGGACTCCAGTGCATGTCCAGCCAGTCTTGCTCAGCCCCGATTAGCCGGACCCCAGCAGCAAGCTAACCTATCAGTTGGAGCATCTGCCCCTGGGTGGTCAGTGCATGTCATAGTGACTGGTCGACTGGCTGACTATCTGCCCCCTGGTGGTCAGTGCACATCATAGCAAGCAGTTGAGCAGCCTTAGCACATCATTAGCATATTATGCTTTAATTGGTTGAGCAGATGACTGGACAACCAGATAATTAGCATATTAGGCTTTTATTATATAGGATTACACAATTATGGAAAGAAATGTGAGCACAAATAGTGATTTCTGCAATGTTACACCATATTTTTCCCAAAAATGGAGAACAAAACACTATTATACCTGGAACAAAAATAAAGTTTTCTACTAAAAAAATAGAACTTTTTTCTCTAGAGCATTAGCTACTTCCATAATTTTATTTTGCTTTTCTCCAGCTTTACTGATATAATTGGCATAAAACAATCTATAAGTTCAAAGTGTACAACATGATTTAATACAGGTATATATTGCAAAATGATTAGTACAATACGTTTACTTCACACATCCATTATCTTACATAGTTACAATTTTTTCTTTTAAAGAGAACTTTTAAGATCTACTCTTAGTTGCTTCCATAATTTTAAAATTTGCCAAATGTGATTTCTGCCTATTCCTCCTCCTTTTTTCTATACATAGGAATCCTTACCATTCAGGGCTGCCCATGCATTAGAACTATTTTCTGCTTTAACAGGAAATAAGTGGACCAAGCTGAGGTCCATAATATAAAACTCATCTTATTATATGCTAATTGAAAGTTTTATTCCAGAATGCTCACCTGTTCCTAGTTCTATTACCTACTTTGAGTCCTGGCTTACTTATATCCATTCATGCATTTATTCAACAACTATTTTAATAGGCACCAATGATACAATGATGAGTAAAGAGCACAGAATCTATCTTCTTAACACTTATGATTGAGTGGGGAAATGGACATTACTCAAATAAATCCATAAGTAAATATATGATTAAATGTTTTTAAGAAAAATTACTGGGGCCTGACTGCCATGGCTCAGTGTTTGAGCATCGACCTATGAACCAGGAGGTCATGGTTCAATTCCCTGGTCAGGGCACATGTCTGATCGTGGGCTCAGTCCCTAGTAGGGGATGTGCAGGAGGCAGCTAATCAATGAATCTTTCTCGTCATTTATGTTTCTATCTCTCTCTCTCTCCCTCTCTCTTCCTTTCTGAAATAAAAATATTTTTGAAAAAGAAAAATTACTGGTTACCATGAGAACAAGTAACAATGGGAGCTAATCTACTTGGGGAGGTTAACAGGAGCTTTCAAAAATTTGAGCCAAGCTACAAAGGATAAGGTAGAGTTAATTTAACAAGTATACCTACCTCCCTACACACATGCACGCACCTACTTAACACAGGCAGAAGGAAAAGCAGGCAAAAGAGGAAAAACTTGTGTTCAAAGACCCAAAAGACGGCCAACCTGGCTGAAATAACAGCGACAGAATTGTACAAGGGAAGGTTTATAGATGAATGAAAGTGAGAGAACCTGGCAGGAATTGAATCAGGATAGACCTTTTCTTATATTTGTTGAAAAACCCACTGTATTATGAATTTTTTAAGCAGGAGAATAAAGTCCAGATTCAAATGTGTAAAAGGATCACTTACAACTACGATATGGAAAACATCCCAGAGTGAAGCAGGGGCAAGCCCAGGAAGATCCACTAGAAAACCACCGCAGCCATCGGGTCAAGGACGACGGAAGTCTAGAAGCATTTCAGAAGTAACATCTGTGTGGCTTTATGACGGCTTCGATAGAGACAGGGGACCTTGCTTATGTATAACTCCAGGAAGTGTTTCTTTTATAAGGAACAGTTAGAAATACATAATCCACTGATTAGAAGGGGGACAGACATCAATTCTTGGTTTTCTAGCACCACTGTGTGGGTGAAACTCGATACTGCAGAAAATGTGCATGGTACCATAACGGCCCACACAGTAATACTCGACAATGTGACGACAGATACATTTTTAAAAAATATATATTTTATTGATTTTTTTACAGAGAAGGGAGAGGGATAGAGAGCAACATGGGCTGGACACATCCTGGAGCCCTCCTTTAGTCCCTCCCTCCCTGGCCAACTTCCCATGTCCTCCCCCCAGCCCCGGTCGTACACCGGGGGGGGGGGGGGGGGGGGGGGGGTGCGCCTCGGCCTGGCCTGCACTCTCTTGCAGTCCGGGACCCCACAGGGAATGTTGAGAGTCAGTTTTGGCCTGAACCCACAGGCCAGGCTGAGAGATCCCACTCAAATTAGTGCAATGGGCCTCTAGTCTTATGGGAATGAACCAGTGAATGCACAAATAAGTGGAACAACAAATTGATGTCTGTCTGTCTGCCTGTCTCTCTTTCCTTTCTGAGGAAAGGGAAGGGGAAAGGAGGGAAGAAAAAAGGGAAGAGAAAGGGAGGGAAGAGAAGGAGAGAACAGCATGTGCTCTTTACTGGGAAAGGTATAGATTTCCCACTGACAACTAACCTGGTTAAGTTACCTAACCTTTCTACCCTGTTTTACCTGTTAATGGTACTCGTCCTATAATATTCTTGACAAATGTTATCTTAAAACATGTAAAGTGTTTGCTACATGGCACAGAAGAAGAAATGTTGATTTCCCTGTTTCTCTCTCCGTTCCAAGGCAAATTCTCACAAAGGTGCTTGGATTCCATTCTCTCCTCCCTCTTCTAGGTCCTTCCTCTGGCAGTTATCTCTCTCTCTACTGGCCCCTTCTCCTCCACTTTAATATGTCAAAAACTTCCAACTTCCATAACAAACAAATGAAAAAGGTTTCCTCCTTTTTGCCCTGTTCCCAAAGCAGGGCCCTTTCCTACCCTGTACTTCTCAAACTTCTCCCATGTTCTCATTATTTATATTAACCCATTTCAATTTTGTTTGAACTCTACTATTCTATTTTTTTACTTAAAAATAAATATTGAACATTTTTTTCTTGAAGCCAAGGCAGAATAATAGTGACCAGTTCTATCTTGCCATCAGAAAGAGAAAATAAGATAAAATTAAATAAACAGGATAAAATTATATGAAACAATGGTTTTCAAGACATGAGACATCAGGCAACAAAGGACAGTCTTCCCTAAGAAATGAGAAACAAAGGAGGTGAGCCCTCGCGCTGCCCCAGCTTACTACCACCTTGAATGAGTTTCTGGGTCTTGGCATGAAGAGGGAAAGGTGAGGTAGAACCTGAGAGAATCCCCTTGTTGTGGAAACTGAGTGAAAGTCTAGGGCAGTGGTCGGCAAACTCATTAGTCAACAGAGCGGCAAACCGTGGCTCTTGAGCCGCACTTTGCCGACCACTGGTCTAGGCAGTTGTACAAGGCAACTTGAGTTCATTAGACTGTCAAGAGTACTAGAGAAGAGAGCAACACAGAGAGAGGAAAATCAGAGGGTGTCTCTCAACTAATGGCATATGACTGAGTAAACCACCTCAGGGCAGGGAAAGAACCATCTGAAAGGAGGAGAGAGAATCATTTTAAGCACTCAACACAAGGCTGAGAGCTGAAACTGTTACCCCAACTCAGAATTCATGGGCTGATGGATAGAGTACACAGAAAAGACTTCTCTCAAATAATTAGCCCTAGGCATTGCTCCAGACCAGGCTAACAATTCATAAAAGCAACACCCAATTAATCTGTTTCCAAGTAACTCAACTGCATCCCAGAGCAAAGTTCAAGGAGATTTATACAAATAAATATATTCTGCAGCCAACAAGTTAAAATTCACAATTTCTGGCAACCAGTCAAATATTATCAGACATGCAAAGAGGAAAAAAAAACAAAACTCATAAAAAGAACAAACAATCAACAGAAATTCAAGACATATCTGACACAGAACTTATAATTAGCAGAAGAGAACACTAAAACAGTTATTAAAGCATGTCCCATATGATCAAAATGATAGACAGGAAAGTTGTAAAAATTATTTAAATCAAACTTCTAGAAATGAAAACTACAATTTCTAAAATGAAAATAGACTTATATTCTAATGACAGATTAGAGACTGGAAAAAAAGATTAGTGAAATTAAAGGCATAAATATAGAAAAGATCAAAAAATAAAACAGAGAACAAAAGGAATGGGGGAAAATGAAAACG